AACCCTAACTTAACTCTGGTGCCGTGTCACATATAGAAATTTTTTGATATTTGCAACCATAGTAAAACAAAGACTTATATTTTTGATATTTATTTTATATATTTAAATGCCATTTAACAAAGAAAAATCAACCAAAAAAATGAGTTCACGTGTCACCTCTGACACGCGTGTCATAGGTTCACCATCACTGTCTCTAGACTCTTAATAGGTTAAGAGAAAGATAGCATCTGAAAGATTTGGTGTCTAGACTAAATTAAACCTAATGTATTTTGTGAAGAAAATATTTTATACTTTATACTTGGTTCAGAATCTTATCTTATTTAATTTTGTTCTGTCCTTTGGCAATTAACTACTTCTGAAATACAAAATTATTTTTTATATTTATATTCTATTGTTTCCAGCAAAAGATGTCCTTCTTCCCATCATGATTTTAAGCACTGTTTTATGAGAATTTCTAAATTCTAGACTTTAGAACAGGATGATTGAACAGACTCAGGATCATAAATCTATTTTATAAACAATTCTCCATAATTTCTTCTCAATCTATCATTACAAATATGCAGTATTTATCTTCAGCAAATCATCAGATTGTACTAAATTGTGTCAATCTGGTGGCCTATTGCATTTTTAAATTATTTTCTAAATTATCTCAGATTAAAATCTGTATGCTATTGGAGTATTTTGTATATGAAATTAAGATATTACAAGATTTGTATTGAGTTTTAGATAAGGCATTACATTTCAGTTTATCATGAATTGTTTTCACATTTTCCAAGCAGTCTAGTCTGGATCGACTTTATGAGCAGTCATCTTTGTGCTGTATTTGAGGGGCAGCCAAAAGGCTCTCTTTGTTTAGCTTCTATAATTGAAACATTGTTGCTTTCGGGCTCAGAGCCGGGCAGCGGCAGGCGGGGAACCTTGGCTTCCTCCATCACTGGAGCAAGCAAGCCTCCTGTTCGCTTCAGCTATGTGGCTGCCGGCCGCCATCTTTGTTGGCAGTTAATTTGCATATCGCCCTGATTAGCCAATGGGAAGCGTAGCAGAGGTATGGTTAATTACCCTTTTGTCTTTTATTAGATAGGATATTTAAATGCCATTTAACAAAGAAAAATCAACCAAAAAAATGAGTTCACTTGTCACCTCTGACACGCGTGTCATAGGTTTGCCATCACTGATGTAGAGTATACCATTCTTTGTGGGAAAATAAAGGACACTAAAAAATAAAAGGTATATGTATAAAGATGTTAATTTTCCCTAATTCAATCAGTAAAGTACAGGGTGTGCCTGGACCATCTTATGCCACAAATTAAAGAAGTACTCAAAATTTATAGGGATGTGTCAAAAGAATACAGGAGTCAGCTTAAAGGGACTCCTGGCCAAATTGAGAATAATTTAAGTATTATGAGTAATGATAGCAATAGATTATAACACAATGAATTAAAAAACCCATAAAGCCCAGCTAGAGTGACTCAGTGGTTGAGCATTGACTCATGAATCAGGTCAGGGCACATGCCGGATTGTGGGGCTCGATCCCCAGTGTGGGGCATGCAGGAGGCAGCTGTTCAATGATTCTCTCCCATCATTGATGGTTCCACCTCTCCCCCTCTCTCTTCCTCTCTGACACAAAACAGAAAAAAAATATGAGTCCACACTGATATTTAAAACTTAAGTAGAGAATAAAAAAAGGGAGGAGAGAAAAGAAAGTTCTTTACATGGAATGATGAAATTAAAATATCACCATTTTGTAATCACTATAGTAATAATTGATTCAGGCCAAGATCATCAGTGGATGTGAAAACCATTGCGTGAAAGTTTGCTTAGGAACAGAAAAGATTCATACGTTTTCAAAAGTATTACTTCCATGGGTGATATTTGCTTTTTAAAATATTTATTAATTACAGGTATAAATGGTAACTTTGCAGTGGAGAAATATGATAGACACCTTAACCAAATGATCAAACTTCCTGTATTAGTTTCCTATTGCTGTTGTGAAAAATTACCACAAACTTAGAGACTTAAAACAATAAATTTATTATCTTACTGTTCCGTAGTCCAGAAATCTGACACATCTCACCAGACTAAACTCTACTAGTAGGTGTTGCCAGGGCTGGTTTCTTTCTGGAAACTCCAGGCGAGACTCTGCTTTCCTGGCATTTTCCAGCTTCTGGAGAGCACCTACATAGTCCTTGGCTCGTGGTCCCTTCCCTCCACCCTCAAAGCTGGCAAAGGCGGGCTGAGTCTTCCTCAGAGCCCATCACTGGGACTCCGACTCCTCTGCCTCCCTCCTTCACTTAGATACAGCGGTTCTCAACCTGTGGGTCGAGACCCCTTTGGGGGGCGAACAACCCTTTCACAGGGGTCGCCTAAGACCATCGGAAAACACATATATAATTACATATTGTTTTTGTGATTAATCACTAGGCTTTAATTATGTTCAATTTGTAACAATGAAAATACATCCTGCATATCAGATATTTACATTACGATTCATAACAGTAGCAAAATTATAGTTATGAAGTAGCAACGAAAATAATTTTATGGTTGGGGGTCACCACAACATGAGTAACTGTATTATAGGGTCGCGGCATTAGGAAGGTTGAGAACCACTGACTTAGAAGGACCCATGTGATGATTTGGGGCCCATCTGTCTCAAAATCCTTAATTTAATCACATCTGTGAAATGTGTACTGCCAGGTGAAGTAAGGTTCTTGCATTTGGGAGGACCGGGACACCTCCATGGGCACCATTTTTCTCCCTACCACATTTACATGACACATAATACCATACACCAGCATTATGTGCATTTTGATGTAATGCACTGATGTAATTTCTGAAACAACTGTCCTTCACTATTCAAAAAGGTCAATGTTGTTGTTGTTATTGTTCTAAAAAGGAAGAAGATTGGGGAGTTATTTCAGATTAAAGCAAGAAGACTACAGAAACATGACAACCAAATGCAATATATGCCCAGCTGGCGTGGCTCGGTGGTTGAGTGCTGACCTATGAACCAGGAGATCACTATTCCATTCCCAGTTAGGGCACATGCCTGGGTTGCAGGCTCAATCCCCAGTGTGGGGCATACAGGAGGCAGCCGGTCAATGATTCTCTCTCATCATTGATGTTTCTATTTCTTTTTATCTCTCCCTTGCTCTCTAAAATCAATAAAGATATATTTAAAAAATAAAAAATAAAAAAATAAATGCAATATATGATCTTTGAGTGGATCTTGAATAAAAAGAAAAAGCATAAAAAGTGTTATCAGGACAAGAGGAAAATTTGATTAACTGTATAATAATAGTATATTAAGTTTAAATTTTCTAAGTTATAAACATATTGTTTTTAGAAAATATGATAAAGTATTTAGAGGTAAAATATGATATCTGCAACTAACCTCAATTGCTTCAGAAAAAAAGATACAGAGAAAACAAATATGGCAAAATAGTAACAATTGATGACTATATCAGTTCTGTAAAATAGAAATATAATGCAAGCCACATATGTAATTTTAAATATTGTATTCTAGTAGCTACATTTTAAAAAGTAAAAATAATTAAATTAATTGTAATAATATTTTAACTCAACATATTAAATTATTTTAAAATGTAATCAAGGTAGCCCTAACCGGTTTGGCTCAGTGGATAGAGCGTCAGCCTGAGGACTGAAGGGTCCCAGGTTCGATTTCGGTCAAGGGCATGTACCTTGGTTGCGGGCACATCCCCAGTAGGAGGTGTGCAGGAGGCAGCTGATCGATGTTCCTCTGTCATTGATGTTTCAAACACTCTATCCCTCTGACTTTCCCTTCCTCTCTATAAAAAATCAATAAAATACATTTTAAAAAATGTAATCAAGGTAAAAATATTAAGGTATTTTACCTTTTTTCCAAAATTAAGCCACTATGCATTCAACACTTATAGAATATGTAAATTTGTTCTAGTCACATTTCAATGCACAATATAATGTGTTTCTGGTGCTACTAAATTGGATAGCACAGGTCTAGATGAAGGGTATATGTGTGTTCATTGTCCTATACTTATAATTTTCTATATGTGTGTTCATTGTCCTATACTTATAATTTTCTATAGGTTTAAGATAAAAAGAGCAAAAGGGATATAGATATTATATAGGCACAGACTATGTCTAGGACAGTGGTCGGCAAACTCATTAGTTAACAGAGCCAAATATCAACAGTACAACAATTGAAATTTCTTTTGAGAGCCAAATTTTTTAAACTTAAACTATATAGGTAGGTACATTGTTATTAACTTAATTAGGGTACTCCTAAACTGGCCTTTGCTAAAAACGTCCTCAATCTGATTGAGGTATGTTCGCTGAGGTCGACCCCTTCCAACTCTCCCATCCACACTCGTCTTGTATACTTGTTTCGTCTATCTCCTTTCAGAAAACCGACTTCTGTTCATGGGCCACGCAGTTTCAATCGCACTGAACGTGCGCACCCGCACGTGGTATTTTGTGGAAGAGCCACAGTCAAGGGGCCAAAGAGCCATATGTGGCTCGCGAGCTGCGGTTTGCCGACCACTGGTCTAAGGTTACAGAAGAAAGTGTTAACACTGGTTACCTCTGGGAAGGAAAACTGAGGAATGATTGGGGATAACAGAGGGATGGTAGTTTTCGCTGTAGCCTTTTATGCCTTTTGTACAATATTGTAACTAAACCTATTAAAACCTCGTCTAAATGTAATATCTATTTTATCTTTTTATTCAAGACTAGATATGCTATAGATATTGATTATAATGTTGTACACCTGAAACTTATGTAATGTTATAAATAAATGTTACCTCGGGTTTTTGGCCC